TGAGCTGCGAGTCCGTTACCGTGAACTAAGTTGAAACATTACAAACATTACATTACAAACTAATGGAAACATTACAAACATTACAGACTCCTTGCATTACCTGAACACGGAGCTTCACGCGGAGACGGTCCACTGCCACAAAGTTTAGGGAAAAAAAGTCATGAACACGGAAACACCCGAGCTGCTGCTGTTCACCGAGACGGTCTCATATTACACGGAGAGAGCCGCACCTCTACGTCCTCACGCACACCGGTGTTTATGAAAACGGGGACTTTCCGTTTTTAAAATCTCTCCGCCCACATGTAAACGCCAAAAACAAAGTCAAAAGTGCTGAGAAAACGGAGATCAATTCAGTTCATTACTGAAGACTAACAAGTGGGCTCGCCTCTAAACACTCAGCGTGAGGACTGAAGAAAGAGTTTTACACTGCACTGCGCTCACAGCTTGTAGCCGATTAACACTCGTTCAAATAACAAATCCCACTTATATAGCTATAGCAAAGCCTCAACAGGCATGGATTTAATGCAGTTTGCAGCAAATTGTGTGCCATAAATGTCTAATTCATGAGAAAGAAAGGAAATGACAGCGTTTTTTTTTATCCAAAAGAAAACTGGAGAAATGAGAAGGAGACAGGAGGAGGAGAGAAGAAACAAACATTTCACATGTCAGATTTGATCACACTGGGTTAAACAGCACACTTCATTTTAGGGGAAACACTGTAACATTGCATGTTATGTTACAGTGTCAAGACTATGTGGAAGAAAGAAGACTGATTCAAAACCTCAAATTAAAGTGAAACTAGAGTTAAATGATTTACTTAGAAACAATTCACGAAGTAAAAATCATCAGGTAATATTTAGATAATATCTAGATTAGACAAACACATTTATATGATAGGATCTAATCCTGAAGTGACGTTCTGGACCACACTCCATACCAGTTGGTGGCGGTATTGCACCATTCTGTTGTTTGCCAACTGCCAATAAAATTTAGAAGAAGAGGGAGAAGAAGAGCAGGAAGAAGAAGAAGAAAAAGAAGGAAAAAGTTGGAGGAAATGCATTTGTTTCTTGTGGGACGTGATTCTGTTCAAACCCGGGTTATCTTCAGTCTCTTTTGTTCCTGCTTCCTAATGGGCTGAAACTTTGTCACATTCACGGGATGTTGAGTGTTCAGGTCAGTTGTGTGTCTTCCTGA